TAGTCATTTATATGTTCAATGAATGGTATGAATATATGGGCACACTCGGTACCTGCACGCTTACATGTACCTTAGACGATTCTAAAGCTTTCGACAAAATTACATGATCAAAATATTGTGATGCAAAGCCACAAATCATAAAAATACAACCAGTTCTGATTAATAGGACGGCAAATTTTCTCACAAACCGAAGATAACACACGTAAACTGGGACCAGCTTTTCGTGTTTAGGCGAAGACATTGTTGGGCGTTTCCAAGAAAACCAAACTAAGCCCAAAGTTATTTAAAATCATGGCAAATGATCTTGATATTTATGAAGAAATAGTTAAATTTCTCGACAACACTACATTATGAAAAAACCAGAAACTGGTCTTTCATTAAAATTTGCGAGTGCTCTAAGTGGGCTGTAAAAAATTCTATGAAATTTAATCCTCCTAAAACCAAAAAATTCAATAATGTTTTTCAAACACAGAATCTCCTTCTCAATCCACCATTATTGTTAATGAATATGATGTTGGCAAAAGTAAGCCATCTGTTAAACTTATTATAGTTTGCTGCATTAAGCTTCTCGTACGCAGAACAAGTTAGTAATCAAGACCTGGGAGTGGGATTAACGAGTTAAGCATGCTGCACGATGTGTATCTCGATTTTCCAACTTAAACTTCAATGATCAGGAGGAGAAATGATCTATTTCTTATATGTTTTAAGAGATTACGCTAGCTCATGATCCCAATTTCAAAATAAATGCCAATTTAAGTTGTGTTGTCGGTCCTGTTGACCAATATCATCATGCATGCTTTAAAGCGCATGTCAAAAAATGAGATTTTATCTCGTTGAAATTATGAACTTGTTAGGAGAATTTAAGTACTCTGTCAGTTGATGAACTTCATGCTTTCTTTGTAGAACTAAGTGCTTCCACTGTCCGATCTTTTTTAAGTAGATGTTGCTCCTCCACATCGTCTGCTGTAAGGTCAATTTTTTATTTTATTGAAGGTACATAAAAATCATTGTCCAAAGTTATTTTAATGAAGGAAATTGCACAGTTTTGTTATCAGGAGCCTGGTGTGAACGAATTAATTAAAGTATTTCCTGGCACCCTAACATCCGATTTGGCTGAACTCACTGTAAATCAGTGTACACTGCTGCAAGGTTACCAAGTGGATACGAAAACTTCCAACAAATTTATTGAAATGAACTAAGGCAATCACTATGGCATAATTTTGATTGCTTTTTACAAACATCTGATAACCAGTTTTGGTATTGGTATTGGTCTTTGATTTTAACATTAAATGTATTAGCTTCATTCATATAGTCACTATTTTATGCATACAACCTTTACTCTTTCTTTGTTAATATCATGATGCTATTACAATTGAAACGAAGGAGGGAATGAGAATAAAGACCACATAGTGATTCGCTCACAAAAATTAACCACTTTTCTAAATTGAAAGGTTTTACTGCGCAACATTTAGGTACAATTTGGTAATATTAAATTTATTATTGCAACTTTGCGTATAAAATATTCCTTAGCTTAAATATATCTGTGCAATGCGTCAAAAATTAAACAAACAAAACTCTTTAAACTCTACTCACCAAATAAAAGTATTTGTCATCTTACACGAGAGAAATAAACTTCGCATTGACATGGAAGACTTTACAGGCAACACAATTTACGCCGAATATGACTTCTTTTCTGTTACAAGTGAACGAAAGAAATACAATTTGAGCCTTGGAACATATTCAGGTAGAAACTGCTGATAGGTATCCAGTAGCCGAATGAAATTAAGAAAAAAAAGTTTTGTGAATTTTAAAAATGACAGAGGCTTTCTAAAGTATGTCTTTCCTCCAGACTTTAAACTTTTTCGTTGTTTTCAGTTTATCATTCAACACTTTAAGTGATTTCGCCTGAAATATTACGAAAAATTTTACTTATTTCTTAGTTGATCAGAAACTTTTGGATTAAAAGAAAAGACTGAAATTTATCTCCATACCATTTCAAACGAAAGGAATACTGTGAAATAATAATCTTTTTAAAAAACTAAAGCGCTTGCAACAGTGTTACATAAACAATTTACATTTTTAAGATTTTACAAATCAAAATACAATTTGTTAAAATCACTCCCATAGTAACTAGTAAATAATACTTTCAAATGATTGTCTATTTGTATCAGACATTTGAAAAGTGCTTTACAACTCAAATTTTTGCATAAGAAATATATATTTTAGACTCAACTCATATTTAAATTGATTTTTACATTTTTGTTCCTTGAAATCAACATTACAATAATTATACATTCACACATCACAGAAAATTTTGTAAGAATATGAAGAAAATCTTAACATACTATTTAAATTTCCTATTTTGACTTTATTATCGTTTGATGTGAGAAAGATCAAAGTTTTAATAATTTCACGATTTGTTTCTAGTTGGAGCAATGAGTACATGTTTGGCAAAGTGAAAACAAAATTGCTTCTTCAAACATTCATCACACCTCAAAATTGAGCTTAGACCCTTTAGTTTGACCGAATTCAGTGTAAAACCACGAAATTGTTTTGCCAAAACCGAATGCTCTATTTTATGCTCAACACAAGTAGACTAATCGGAACAAGTAATTTTGAAAACCAAGTTCAGCGCCCATGCACAAAGAGAGTTTATGCATGGTGAGAAGATCTTTACGAGAGAGTCTATATATCTTTTTAATTAAATGTTTCTCATTTCATAACAATCAGAAATAACCAGCTGCTATACACCAATAATAATTGCAAGACAAAATAGCATAATGCAATGTCGGAAATTTTGTGCTTTTAATGAGATTTCATGCTGTTATTTGAAATTAAATCAATTAAACAAAGCTTTTTTCTCGCAAGACAGCCTTCAATAATATACAACACCAAACGCTGCATTGCACAATGGAATAATTTAAACACACTTTTTATACATACTGTATTAAAATTGAACAGTTAGACAAACATCATTAAATTCATCATAGCGCAAAATATACAAAACTAAGTAAAAGTGTTCCTGTTTTTGCAATCTTTTGTTCTTCTACTTTTTTGCATTATAACATAGTGGTTGGTAGTATAACACGACTTCACGTGGCTACCTACAAAAAACCGTTGAAATTTTAGCATATAAGTAATGTGCAAACTGAACATTAAAACGATAATATTTTGCTTCCGGTACAATAAAAAGTTTCAATTTTTAGTAATATTTCTGCATCCAATAACCACACTAGTTAACGGCAAGTTTGTAAAATTATAAAAACTTTGGGAGAGGACTAAAGTTTTTTTAGCAAATACAACAACAAACAATAGCGTATATATGTGTTAGTCAAAATCAGGAAGGGAGAAAAAAATTTCATTTGGTGAGCCCGCATCTTTCCGCTGACGTTCACAGCCAATTACTTCTCAACAGTGAAGTGACGTCTCTTGCTGAAACTGCTGCTCGATTGCAGGCACGCTCAAACGAGTAAATTACTGATAAAACGAGCAAATTTCGTATTTCTTTGCTAAATATCATGGCTTCTACTTGTTATTAAGTTTCCTGACTCTGAGGAAGTCTTCTTTCTCAATACATCATATGTTTTTCATTCGAGCGCCACAGGTTTTAAGGGCTTTGCCGTTTCAGGCATGACACCTATGTCAGCTAGTTCGTTTGCTGTTTAATTTTTAATTAAGAGTAAGTGAAGGACTCAAAAACTACAGAGCCTGCAGGATATACTGCTGTTACTATATGGTTAATCTGACCACATCTGTCGCACATTAGCGCCTGTATTCCAAAAGCTGACTCATACTCACTTAGTTTTCTTTTTGGATGCGCAATTTCTCTGTTACACTCATTGAGTTCAATAAGATCTGGAGGGAACAAGAACTGTTGTCAAAAACATGGTGGTAATGGCGGATTTTGGTTAAAAAAACCTCAACTTTGAGAAATATTCGCTCCCTTCTTAATCTGGATTTCTATTACTGCGTATAACAACGACAATCTTTTTTGAATACATGGATAAATCTTGGTTAAAATGTCCAAAACAGAAGTGAGAAGTTTGCATGTCCCTACGATTTTAGTGAACTGGAAATATGTCATTATTAAGTAGAAACATATCTATTTTTTTGAGTTACTTTTGGTGTGATTGATTCTGGGTGTCTTATAAGTTATAACGAAAAGATATTTTAATAAATGTACTGAGAACTTATAAGGGATATATCCAGTGGCGTAGCTAGCGGTCTGGCTGGTCGGGCCCAGCCCGACCAAATATTTTCCCAAAAATGAAAAATTTGTTTTCTTTAAAATTGGATTTGCGAAAATTTTAAATTCTGCGACTCTTTTTGGAATAATCCACAGTCTATTAGTGTAATATTTGTCAAATTGTGTCGTTATTAGCAGAATTATCATATTTTTAAACGTTACTTAGCAACAATGACTAGTGCATTTCTAGTGCCAGGCATTACCCAGTTTAGTCGGGCTCTGAAAATTCAGCCCGACCAAATAGTAAAATCTATAGTGGGATTATCTGCAATCTGATTGGTTGACAGCAACTGAGCAAACTCAAATGCGCTTTTTCGCAACATCTAGTCGGGCTCTGAAAATTCAGCCCGACCAAGTAATAAAATCTATAGTAGGAATATCGGTAATCTGATTGGTTGAGAGTAGCTGTGAACACACTCAAACGTTTAACAACATCTAGTCGGGCTCATTTTCAACAGCGTGACTTCAATTTTGAGCTTTCGAAATATACGTTCGGAAATCGTGATAACTTACATTACAATGGCTTCGGCTAATGAAATCGATATAATAAGTGAACTACAAAAGAAACCTTTTCTGTTCGACAATCAGGCGAGCAAAATATACTCGTAAAGCAGCGGCCAATTCCAAATTTACAAGCGACTACAGGCAATAGGAGCTTTCAGGAAAGTTGGTACTCGAAGAAAGATTGGCTTTGTGGTAGCTCAGAAAAGATGCATTGTTCTGTTGACCTTGTCTTTTATTTTGCCCTGGATCGTCATCTTCATGGATGCAGACGGGATTCAAAAACATGAAGAATTTCCTATCCGATTGTAAGAAGCATGAGAAGGCAAAATTGCACATGGGTGCCTACAAGACCTGGAAGACCTACGGTTTTCAGCCTCGTATCGACTGTATCATGTCACAAACTAGACGTGAAGAGATTCAGCGTCATAACGAGGAGGTAAGGCAAAACAGGGAAATGTTGAAAACCATAACAGAAGCTGTTTTATACTTGTCTAGGCTAGAGCTTGCATTTAGGGGGCATGATGAATCTAGTAGCAGCATGAATAGAGGAAATTATAGAGAGCTACTTGAAAGTTTTGCCAAGATGGATTCTGTTTTTGAAAGGCGATTACATGGAAGGCTTGCTGAAACCCACCTTGCTGGGGGAGGGCGGTTTACTGGAGTCTCTCCTGATATTCAGAATGATTTGATTGATTGTCTTGATAAGATAATGAAGGATGAGATTTTAAAGGAAATATATTGCTGCACTTTCTTAACTATACAGGTTGATGAGGCAACTGATGTTTCTACCAAAGAACTATTGAGTGTAATTGTTCGAATGGACAAAGGGGAAAGTGTCATTGAAAGACAGCTTGGGTTTGTTGATGTTAGTTGTGATAGGACTGCAACTGCTATATCATCAGTAGTTAAGGGTAAGTTAAGTCAATACAATAATGTGAAAGAGAAATTTATTGGACAGACTTATGATGGTGCATCTGTTATTTCTGGTCATCTCAATGGTGTTCAAGCTCAAGTTCAGCAGGATTATCCTCATGCTCAATTTGTTCACTGTGCTGCCCATAGACTAAATCTAGTATTATGTCAAGCTGCATCCTCCATCTCACCTGTTACGATTTTCTTTGTTAATATTAGTGCTTTCTGCACCTTTACTAGCAATTCCCCCCAAAAGAAAAGCTTTACTATCATCCCATAGGCTTGAGTTTCCTAGTCCTGGTGACACAAGATGTTATTATAGGGCTCATGTCATCAATGTCTTGCATTCTAACTATGAGAAACTGATAGACATATTTGAAAATCGTACTGATTATCCAATAGGTTGGGATGATGAAACGTTAAGTAAGGTTACTGGTTTACTTGGCTACCTTAATGGCTTCTTGTTTTGTTTCTTGGTACATGTTTTCCAGAGAATTCTTGAGCAGTCATCCATACTTTATTCTATCTTGCAAGACAATTTCACTGACTTTCATTATGGAATGAGTAGGTTTGAGAGATTCAAGGCCTTTGTTGCATCTCTGAAAAATGATACAGAATATTGTCAGGTGTACGACCTGGCTGTTGAGAAAGTGGGACCACCAGTAACCAGGTATGACCAACGGCATAATTACAAACAAATGTATTTTGAAATTCTTGACACAATTGTGACTATGCTGACTGAGCGATTTCAGGATGTGGAGCATTTTAGATTTTTGACCTTGTTAACCCTAGGGTGTTTAAAATGTGTAAAGGTCAAGTGCCCTCAGAAAAGATAAATCTTCTAAAGAAGGTTTATGGTGATATGTTTGACATACCAATGCTAGTTAGCAAACTTTGTTTTATTTACAGAGATAAAGACTTTCACCGTGATTCATGCGATGAACTATTGAAATATATTTTTCAGTTCCATTATCAATCTAGTATTCCAGAAGTTGTAAAACTGTTAAAGATAAATGGGGTTTTGTCAATTACAAGTGCTTCAGTTGAGAGGTAATTTTCTTGTTTGAAGAGGGTAAAAAATTATCTTACAAATACTATGAGCCAAGGACGTTTTAGTTCTCTTTGCAGGATTTCCATTCACAAAGACATACTGTCAGAGAAAGAAGACGCCAACACATTGCATGATGAGGTAGTAAAGAAGTTCATTGAAAAACCACGAAGACTTGCTTTCTTATACAAATAGGTATTCATATATGGCTGTTAGCAAGCTGATGATGTCTTACGTCCATGGCATGTGAGAATTTTTCCGGGAACTTTTTAATGCAGTCAATGATGATTGTCATTTCAGCACGACAATTTCATCACAACTTTTGATAGTTGTTGATGACAAATCTGAGCCTTTTTCGGTTCTTTTGTCAAAGTTTCTTTACAAGATGTACATAGGTATCTATTTATGTATGTGGTGTTGAGAAAATAAATCACATATCTGCAACTATTTTTGAACTGTTTCTCTGCTTTACTATAAGATCCTTCTGAAATTTAAATTAACCAAAATGGTTCTATTTCCTGCATAAATATCACGCATTTGCTTTCTAAGATAGCCATTTCCGACGTTCTAGGGAGTCTAAATTCGGAAAATTTTCTCGCTCGCCGCCAACCATGGTGGCGCCTCGTGCGCCCGACCAAATATTTTTCGCTAGCTACGCCACTGGATATATCTTGAACTAGAAGAGCAAAAAAAAAATCAAAACGCTATGATTATTTGGCTGGTTGAAACTTTCTGATTAGAGGCAAAATATTAGAAACTGGGTTGATTGTGAATTATTTGGTTTAATTTTGGATCTACTATTGAACAGAACTACAATACTTTCCTACTGTAAATATAATATATGTCAAGGAAGAATGTATTATTTTCTAAAAATGCAAAATCCCTTGCACTACTCTTCCCTTGTACCTTTATAAATTACAGCTCCCCACAATAATTTTTTCTAGTTTCAAACAAAATTGAGACATATTTGAGTTCTGCATCATGCCTTTGAATTTTTCTTTTGTTTCTTGGTAAAAATATAAGTGAAAGACTTCCAAATCAAGTTTATCTAAAATAGTACTTTCTTTATACAAGAAACTAAACGTAATTAGAAAGTTCCTTGTTAAAGGCAGACGTTGCTTCTTTTACTAGATTGTTCATTCTTATACTTTAAATTTCTACTATTTCTTTATAAGATACAAAAATGTTTTTTGCCATCTATAGTTGCTTCTACATACAACTTCATTGAACCCAGTGCATCCTATGTGAATTTTGGATCCCGCGTCTTTCTGCTGACAATCAAATTCTGCCATATTTTTGACCACAGGACGCGCGCTAATAATTTATAGTAATTTGGTTGACATGTTCCCTCCAGATTTTATAAAACTCAATAGCGTGAGCGTGAGCTTTTGCAGTGATCTTCAACACTTTGTAGATTTCATGTCTACACTCTACCATACAAAAAAGTACAATGTTTCTCTTTTAACAATGCGATTCTCAGTTCGGAAACATCTGTTTCGTTTTCTTACTCTGTTTTTACCTGATGTATTTTCGCAGTTAACATCAGAACAAAAATGCGCGCAGACTAGGTTAGATTTTCTACATGAATATCGCATGCTTGAACACCCAGTCTCAAATTGACAGTAAATGCGGAATTATGAGTCTGGAGATGGAGGACGCGTCATCCATAGGGTATAAATGTCCCCTTTTGAAAGCTGCTAACCGTTACCAATTGGGGAGGAAACAGTCATTTGGGGTAAAAGAGACTGATACCACATACCCGCCTGCCAAATTACGCTTTCAATTTGTCTAAGAAGGCTGTCATATGTTGGTGGCATAACTTCATCTAAACATTTTACACCCTCAAAAAAGGTGTATCGGCATTCAACCACATTTTTGGATGTATAGTTACAATATAATAGACACGTGAACTTGTTTGGATTGTGTACAGTTACGTTGGTACGAGGAATGTTACAAACAACAAGAGAAAATGTCTCAATAAAGCAAGGATGAGAAATTAGCGTTTTCCATGCTTTGACCTTCCCTTTTCCTCCACGAGCTCGAGTAGTCACTTCCTATTCAGTCTTTCTGTATATTTATTGTTTTAAACAAAAGTTGTTCGCATTTTTTTCATATTTAGTTAGACATACATACAGTTAGCACATACAATAATGGAAAGTTTCTACCTGTGTATGAACGTGAACTAATCCTTCTAAAATCTCACGCACAAGCCAGAGCATTCTCTGTTGGTCCTTGTACAATCCCACGTGAATAAAATTTCTCAGAGTACACTTTTCGAAATATTCCATCAATATATACAATGATTGCTGCGTACTTTGAATCCTCTTGCAAATCTCTTTCTAAGGGAAAGATGTTGGTAATTATTTTACATATTTTCAGTAACATCACGAACAGTTCCCACTACTACATACCACGTGAGCCAACGAGCTTCCAAGTTGTGTAATGTGATTTATTGATATTTCATTGGAACATATGTTCAGTAGACTCGGTGTTGATAATGGATTGTTTTTGTATTGGAACCTCGTCTTCACTAGACCTTTTATCGTCATCAACATTCTTGGAAACATTCTCGTCTTTGTTTGTCCACGAGTCCTCATTCAATTTCATTAAGCTATTTTCAACCTGGCTTCTTTGCTTCTCCTCTGTCATGCTTGATTTTGTTTTCCTGTTGGAAATTTCATTTTCAATATTTTTTCTACCTCAATTCACTAACTTTATTATACGTCGTAAACATTAGGGCATTGTCATGGACAAAATATGCAGATACAACGTTTTAGCGAAAAAAAACCTATCTAACATTGTCACAACAAAGAACATGCCAAAAATATATGATTGAAAATTGCTAAGTGTCTATACAAGCACCAGTTTCAGAGCTCGCTAAATCAAAAATTAATTAAGAATTAGTCTGAGCATGCGCAGTCAACACTACCACTTTCCAAGTTCATGGTCATGGCAACGAAAACTTTTTTTAAATTCTTGCAGCAAAGAACATGCCAAAAATATTTAATTTAAAAGTTTGCTAATTGTATACACAAGAACCAATTTTAGAGCTCACTAATTCAAAAATTAATTGAGATGTAATGTTAAGCATGCGTAGTCAACTCCATCACTCTCCAAGTTCATAGTCATGGAAACGACCAACTGTTGGTACAAGTACCCATTATGGAGTAATTCCCTACGTAGTCATAAGTTTTCTGATAAATCATCCGCGCATGGGTAGTCTTCTTTAGCAAGCGCAGCCGACTTGACCAGCTGCGCAAGTTTATGGCCATGGCAACGACCAACTGCATCTTCTACGACCGATTTTGAAGTAAAAACATGCTTTGTACAAATTTAATATACAAACCACATGTGCATGCGCGGCAACGATATCAATCCCACCACAAAAGCCATTAAACTTTTATGTATATAAAACACGTATAAATTTAAATCACGTGAAAAATTTCATCAGTAAGATAAATAAAGTAAGAACAACTATCATATTTTTTTGAGGTTTACGGGACCATTTTTATCTATTTTCAATTGTATTAGGGCGAAACTAAATATATATATGAATCCCCCGCCTAAATAAATATTGATGATGACTTACGCATTAATAGTACTTATGACGGTATAAAAATTACATTAACAGGCTCCACAGACTAGGAAAACTTTCCGTAGTCGACAACTAAATGTAGTCGACAAACAGCACTTTTGTGATTGCAGTTACCCTTGCAAAAAAAAGAGAAACCGCTTTGTTGTCGACAACTACAATTCTACACGTTTATTAGTCGACAACTTATTCAACAGACGGTATTTTTTTCGTAGTCGGCTACATCTAGTGGCCGAAAACAAAATACCTAGTCTATGGAGGCCCTAATTTACACCAAAATTTGGTGATTAACATAGAGTGTCTTTCAAATTGCAGGTATAGATGTGTTGTTAATGCCAGAATGAGTCAACATAATGAACAGAAAAACTTCATTTTGTTTGCTCATTCAGGAATCATCAATCACAAACTTCAGGCAAATTGAATAACTTCTATTTGCAAAGATTTCCATTGATCAATTTCACTTTTTGAATCATGTCGACAACAAGCCATTTCATGAATCTTTCCAAAATTATTGCACTTAACTGTCAAAAGTAGCAGCTACCAAATCTTTCATTTTTATCATTAGCGACTATATGTACAACATAATTCAAAATTCACAGAACCTTTTGTTGAAATGAAATAATCTCTAAAACAATCTCTGATATTTTATGATTGCATTGAATAGAATTGGATCCAAGATGTGTTATATCCTCAATTCCGCCTTTATTGCATTCTCCTTTCTCCACCCACCAGTCTAAGTGAACCATTGCAGTCATAGTCAATAAAGTCAGATGGACAATATGGATTACTTGGAATACACCTGTCAGCCATAAGGTAGTTATGAAGAACCACAATTTCTTTTGTAGCTTGCACTGCAACGTCAACATCTGCTGTAATTGCACGTCTAAAAAGTCTGAATCGTGAGGTGGCTGTGTTAAAGGCATTTTCTACAAACCTCTTGCACGGGAGAACCTGAAATTTGCAATTCTCTCAGGGATCTGGACCTCTCCTCTAGGATTGGGTTTCATGAAAGAAATTTTCAAAAGGGAAAGCATCGTCTCCTACAAACACATATGGTACACTAATATTTGTCCAAGGTAGCAGTTTTGGGTGTGGAAGATTTAGTTTGTTCTGTTCCATAGCAACACCAAATTCGCCACTTGAAAAAAACGCTACCGTCACTTAGACGTCCATAGTCGCCTACATCAATCATTGTAAATTGATATTTTGCATTCACGACTGCCATCAGGACAATACTGCGGAACATTTTATAGTTAAAAAACATAGATCCTGCTCGTGAAAGACACTGGATAATGATATGCTTACGCCAATCAGTCCGACGCAGTTCGGGAAATTCCACCTTCTCTCAAAGTCTTGACTTTTATCTAGCCATTCTTTCGACAAACTTGGAACATATAAAAAAAAATTTCTGCGATAACAATCCACCAAGCTTTAAAAGACTCCCTCATAATTCGTCCCACAACGGTACGGCTTACAAGGTAACTTGCTGCAATACTTCTAAGGCGTCTCCAATGACCAAACATCTTAAAGTGACGCAAAGCCTTCCTGCAGGTTCAATAGCTTCTCTTCTTGCATGCCAAACTTGGAAGGTGTCTTCTTCAAACTTGGAAGGTGTCATACGAAACAAAGAAAAAAAATTCTTTGTCATATAGCATAGCTTTTTGAACTAGCGTATGGTAATAAGAGCAGATTTCAACTTTCACTCATACAGACACCTAACAACAAAATATTTCTTAACTGCCTACACAGGCTGTGTCCTTACAATGTATTGGCTATAAACAACAGTTTAATTCAGTACCAAATTAATATTACTCACAATCATTTTATACCCCACATCTAAATATTTGATAAGTGT